CACTGCACTGATTGGACAAGCAATGTAATGTGATCATTTACAGCCGGTGATGGCCAAGTGGGCATGTCATAACTAATTGACATGTTGAGTCGGGTGTGTCTTAACCTCCATGGCAGAGGCTCCATCAAACCCCTGAAACCGATTCACCGAACCCCTGGGGTTCGATCAAACGCAGGTTAAGAACCACTGCTCTAAAAAATAAAGCTGTATTGCATTGTAGCGCATTTCCTTTTGTGGATGTATAGCACAACTGCAGCCACTATTGTACCTTCTATGCGCCTGATAATGCAGTGCACCCTATATACGAAAACAATTTTAAAATAGGCCTTTCATTAAAGATGCGTCTCATAGTGCAGAAAATATGGTAAAAACTAATAAATGGACATTTTTTGTCAAGGTACTGCTTCCAAAGAAACACTAATCCCAGATTCAACAAATGACATTTTTTGACAAGTAAGCATTCGTCAATATTGTCACATACGAACATCGCCCTCTACCAAAGCCTCTCTCCGAGCAATTGCAGCATTGTCCAGTGTTTGATCTGTCCGCTCGTCACCTTAACAAACTGCTCATAACCGAGTGAGCGATTTAGTCCGGCCTTAGTAAATGTCCGTGTGACGAACACAGAAGTGGCTAAAATATGGTTCCGGGCATTGCAAACTTACTTTTAAAATGATTCATAATAGTTTTGCAGCAGAAAGTTTTGTGTTCACTCATTTTGTACTTGACTGAGCTCAGTGAGACGATTTTTTCCCCCTGCCCTAAAATACACAAGTGTTGCTCAAAGTAACGGGATTTGTACAGTAGTGAAATGTAGGGGTCAAAAACAATGTGCCTCCACAATTCATAATAACCGGTACTTGGGGTAAAAGAAACTGTCAGATGGTGCTGCTGTGCATCCTCTCAGCCATCTTAGTTGCATAGAAGGCTTAAGCCCATCTTTGACACAGGCGTCAGGTTAATAATTGAGCCTGAATGTTTAATTTTACACATTCACAGCCATTTAAGTCTACTAACACAATTTGTTTTTTCATGCAGGATGTTGTGTTCACATTTTGAGCCCATTTCCTCGATTGTACCCATTCACTGAAGTGCAGCATAGTGCTGAATGCTATCTTGCTTTGGGATTGAAATTGCGATCTCCGACGCAATTTTGTGTTTGGCAGAGCTGCATTTTTCTTTTCTTTTCTTTTGTTTTTTGAGGGCGAGTAACTTAAAAATCAGCAACATGCCACTGTAACCAGCTCCAAGGTGATTTTAAAAAAGGGGTTGAACATCACACTGTTACCCATACTCCCGGAAGTCCTTTCTTTTATGTCGAGAAACAGAGAGGAGCTGAAGGCCGTGCAGATTCGGCTGAGAAGAAAGATCAGAGAGGGGAAGAAGACGTACAGGACGAAATTGGAGGACCAGTTACAGGCCAGCAATGTCACTGGTGTCTGGAGGGGCCTGAAAACCATCTCAGGCCACAACAGCCCAAAGACATTGACTGAGAAGGACAAGGACTGGGCAGATGAACTGAACAGTTTTTTCAACCGATTCGACAAGACGTCTGTCCCTTCCCCCAACCACCAGCTGCACCCACTCTCACTGACGACTTCTTCTCCTCCCCCTCCTCTTTTGACCTGCTCACAACAACTCAGTCTGTCACCTGGTTCCTGCCTGTCCGTCACAACAGAACAGGTGAGGAACCAACTGAGGAAGATGAATGTGAGGAAGGCAGCAGGTCCAGACAAAATCAGTTCCCGGCTCCTCAGGACCTGCTCTGACCAGCTGTGTGACATTGTCCAGCATTTGTTCAACCTGAGCCTGAAGCTGGGCAGAGCTCCACAGCTGTGGAAAACTTCGTGCCTGGTCCCAGTGCCCAAGAACCCCCACCCTAAAAAGCTGAACAGCTACAGACCGGTGGCGCTGACGTCTCACCTGATGAAGACGCTGGAGAGACTCGTCCTCGCTCACCTTCGACCGCTGGTGAGCTCGGCACTGGACCCGCTGCAGTTTGCCTATCAGCCTGGCATCGGAGTGGAAGACGCCATTATCTACCTCCTCCACTCAGTGCTGTCTCACCTGGAGAAGGCTGGGAGCACTGTGAGAATCATGTTCTTTGATTTCTCCAGTGCCTTCAACACCATCCAACCCAACCTACTGAGGGACAAACTGCAGAACGCCGGAGTGGACCACCATCTCACAGCATGGATTATAGACTACCTCACAAACCGGCCGCAGTTCGTAAGGGTGCAGAGCTGTGAGTCGGACAGGCTTCTCTGCAGTACGGGAGCGCCGCAGGGGACTGTTCTGGCTCCATTCCTGTTCATCCTCTACACCTCGGACTTCAGACATGCCACTCCAAACTGCCACCTTCAGAAGTTCTCCGATGACTCTGC